AAAAAAAAAAAAAGGTAAATACGCTACACTACTGACTAACAGTGCTGCAAGCATCTAAAATTCTTCGATATTTCTTGCTCATCTCATGCATTTTGTGTTTTCCAAGTGGATTTTGTACATGTATGAACCTAAGTTCAGGAATATTATGTAGTACTTATGAGACATTTGGAGTTTTCATTTTTTGTGACTTGTAAAGTCACATAAAGGGAAAACAAATAGATTTCTAATTAACAAGGCACACATATTACATACAATATACTCCTCATCGCAGAATAACATGCAATGGTTCTGAATGTTTGGAATGGCACTAAATTATGCTGTAGAATTGGCTAGACTATGCATAGCCATATTACTTTCCTGTAAAGTATATATATGCCTTATAAAGTATTCATATGTACATAAGATCATAAATTGTTTTGCTCAGCAAGTGGCAAATATATTAAAAGGAGGAAATACTGGCTTAAATTGCCAATTTTTTTCTAAATATTAACAAAACTCTCTAAAAATAAAGCACAGCCACTTGAATATAAAAAGCAGTTATGAGCAGAGTGTCCCATTTACAGTTCACTATTTCTCGTCCAACATTCAGACACACACTCCATCCTCTAGAGAGTCTCATACCAGGTCTAGAATCCACCAGTAAGTCATGCAGGAAAGTTACTGTCAGAAGGGAGGTGGGAAAAAGGACATTTGAGTCTACTGTCAGAAATCCTCCTGGGTTTGGATGCTAACCTTATAAAGGACTAACCCTTAGGAGAAAGGCAGCCTCTCTGGGCCTCCATAAAGTGGAAGTAGTTTGCAGGTTTTTTTTTTTTTTTTTAGATTAATGCAGTTAAATGAAGACTGTGAAGTTCTATAGGCTGTTAACCAAGTGGCTTCTGCTGTCATTAGCCAGAGCAGCAGCTGTCTCTGGGAAATTACTTGCCTCTAGGAGCTCTGGTGGCATAGTGCCTAAGGCATTTGACTGCTTACCAGAAGGTTGGTGGTTCAACCCCACCAGCCGCTCCATGGAAGGAAGACTGGGCAATCTACTTCAGTAAAGATTTATTGCCTCAGAAACCCAAAGGGGGTCACTATGAGTCGGAATCAATTTGATGGCAGAGAGTTTGGCTGTTTTTTTTATTATTATTATTTTTGGTAGGAGCTTCCAAAGAACAGCCATTTCATTTTCAGAAGACCTTGGCCAAAAGGCTTATTGGGAAGAACTTGAATTTGTACTAAACACAGATAGTGGGGGTTATAGTTGTTTTCAAAATGAAAACATTGTAGTAGAAATAGTCCTGGCTTTATAAACAGACATGGGTTCATATCCCAGCTCTCCACTCATTAGCTGGGTGAATTTGGGCAGGTTATTTAAACTCCTAGTCTCCATCACATAATTGGAAAATATGATCTCCATTCCACTAGTGGTAGTATGGAAGAAATAAAATGTAGTATTTACCCAGTACAGCATCTAGTACATAAAAGGAACTAAATGAGAGTCTTAAAAGACAAAGACAAAAACAAAAAAAAAATGCTAAAGACTTCTCTATACCCCAAAAGGCTAACCTGCCAGTGACTTTGCAATGGTCAGGAGAAGAAAATGGCAGCGTGGTGTGAAACCATCTCCAGAAAAGGTCAGAATTATTGATTCCATCATATACACACACATCCTATTTATGACCTTATAATCAGCCATGGGGTAGTTCTGGCCCCCCAAAGAACAAATTTAGCATTAAAAACCTTAGTGAGTAAATGGGGAAATTGTTATGCTGGCAAATGTCTTGTTGTGTATGTTTTCACCACAACAATAATAATAATAAACCTTAGTGATATACTTTACTACTTTCCTGACATAGTTGGGAACAAAGGCCAATTGTGGCATTAAGTTGGTTTAATGCCAATCCAGTCTCCAAACCAGGCTTCCTCCCTTCTTGTTTGAGACAGGTGGGGCTTGTTTGTTTGTTTGTTTGTTTAAGCAATCTTTCTTTTTCTGTACCTCAGAAGTTAATGCTCCACTTGCTACTCATATTATTAAACAGCAGGTTCCATGTTGGCTGTACAATAGAATCTCATGGGGGGGGGGAGCTTTTACAAAATGTGGCATAGTGCCTAAAGCATTTGACTGCTAACCAGAAGGCTGGCGGTTCAAACACACCAGCCACTCCTTGGAAGGAAGGTTGGGCAATCAATCTACTTCCGTAGTAATACCACCTTGAAAACCCAAGGAGGGGTCGTTATGAGTCGAATCCAACTCAATGGCAGTGGGTTGGGTTTGGTTTGGTTTTAGTGCCCACTACCAGAGTCAGGTTCAATGGGTGGGAGATGGGACCCTGGCAAGGGTTTTTCTAAAAAGCTGCCCAGGTGATTTAAACATGCATCCAGGACTGAGGACTATGACACTAGATCAAAAGAAACCATAGTGATTGTGAGAAGTACTAGAAGGTGGACTCTGGGTGCTAAGATAGCTAATGATGGCAGAAATCCCTCATTTGGACTCACTATGGCTTTTCCACTAACCCAGAAGAATCAGAGGTGCTCCAGGCATTAAGCAGATAAAACTTTACCAAATCAGGCACCACTCCCATGAAGTAGTCAATAAAGAGATTAATCCATGTCAATTGGGATGGTGGTTCCTTTGGTGTGGATCATCCTCACCCAGATCTGTCACCAGGTACTATCACTGCTGCCACACTGTTGGTGCTGATGGATCTTTGCTTTTCCCTTTCTCAGAATGAAAACATCTGAAATGAATCCTTATAAACAATTTTTTTCATTGGAGGAGAGGCCCTTGCCAACCTTTACCAATAAAATCCATCCGTGTTATTTCTCATGAGTGAAGAACATGGGCAGTAAGTAGAGTATTAGGCAACTGGTCTACCAAAAAGTTAAGACTCACAGTAACAACATTTCAACAAAGTCTGCTCTTACTCTTTGGGAAACATCAGTGTTTTGTCTCGTGGTGTAGTGGATGAGGCATTTGGCTGCTAACAAGAATGTCAGTGGTTCAAACCCACCAGCTGCTCAGTGGAAGGAAGATGGGGCAATCTACTTCCATAAAGATTTACAGCCTCGGAAACCCAATGCGGGTCACCATGAGTCAGAATGGATTCGATGGCAGTTAAGTTTTTATCAGACTAAAGGAACTCAGTACTGGTTCTGGTATCCAATTACTTAGCACTGAGATGATAGCTCTAGCTTAGCTCAACACTGATGGCGTTTAGAGAAGAGCATGCCCATGCATCCAAGCATGGTGAGGTTCAAGGAGGCAGAAAGTATTTCTCTAACAAGAACTTGGAACTGAAAGGCTGCTGATGTTCAGGACGCTGCCTTGCCTACCAAAGCTGCATATCACATGCTAGAGGAGATTTCTAAGATAGAGTTCAAAACTGGAATAGGGCATCTTGCCATGAGGATATAAATGGCCTACTAGAATTGCCGACCACTCTTTTGTCAGCATCTACATCTTGAGGGACCGGGAGTAGATTTATCATGCCAGTCTGGGTTTGGGGTTGGTTTTCTCTCTGAGGGATTAAAAGGTGGATTAAGTAAGAGTCTGAACTAAAATTAGTCAATGAATATTAAGGTCTCATCTGTGACCTCAGGAAGAACCACTTCCCTTTCACATGATTTATATTAAAATACAAAAGTAACTGAAAAAGCAGCTCTTATGTTGTGACATACTCACCAGTTTCAGCATCCATGGGCTGCCGCGGCAAGTAGCAAAGCATCCAAATAGGCCAAAAATGACAATAGTGGTGCCAGTTCCGATAAGCACATAAGGAGCATTGGTGGAGTTCTCAGCAATGAGGGAGATATAGGTGCCAAGAGTGAGTTTGCCCCAGACGCCAACAGCCAGCAGGATCACCCCAGTGATCTGAAAGTGGAAAGGAAAGAGTATGAAACCATCACTGGGTGAGGTAAGAATCAACACCAAGCAATGTGGTCTGGATCAGAAGACTCCAGTTTCCATGAGCGTGGTGGTACTTGCTGTGTTGTTACCATTAGACGTCATTGAGTCAATTCCAACTCATAGAGACCCTATGTACAAAAGAAGAAAAGTGCCCAGTCGTGTGCCATCCTCACAATCCTTGCTATGTTTGAGCCCTCATTGCAGCCACTTGTTGAGGGTCTACCCCTTTTCTCTGACCCTCGACCTTTACCAGGCATGATATCCTTCTCCAGACACTGGTCCCTTCTGACCAAATGACCAGAGTAGGTGCCACAGGATTCCCTAAAGCAGCAGGAAATGGTAGAGACCAATAACTAAAACAATCACAGAGTAAAGACATCCTGATTTTGTCCAATTAGATCTACCCCACAAACTATCTCAGATACAGTTACTGAGTCAATTGGAAGTTGAGCAAACAATAAAGAAAATTTTTTCTTTTTTAAGTGGCTTAAAGAGTACATCATAAGATAGGGCTGAGAACCACCTCCCAGCTGCTCCTTCAACACTTAGCTGGGTACCATCTCAGAAAGTATGTCAATCACCCTCTCTGATGGCCAGTGTATGCAATGTGTGTTGAGAACACCCTGCATGATATTTTAAGGAACACGGTGATCTTTGACCATTAACACAAATATCTGTACAAAAACAACATATTCTAAATATTTTTGTACCCTATTGATGTGCTATCTTATTTACAGTATTTTATTTAGTATAAAACAGAGAGATTTGAATAGATCCTGGAATTAGCTGTAAGGTGATTTATCAAATCCTGCTGCCTGGTCCAGAGGAATGTTTAAACTCTAGAACCTCGTGTCAGTCAGGTCCTTACATCAGGGGGTGGACTCAGGGCCATAGGCTATGCCTTACTGTCCACCCTGCAGGCCAGACACTCTAGCAGCTATAGCTGCTGGAGTGGTGGTTGGTTTTGTGTCTCTAACCATCTTCCCAGCTGGTCTCTCCTCCAGTTTACCAGTAGCTTAGAAACTCACCCAAACTGGCACCCCCCTAAGTGTCACCATTTCTGACCCCATTGGAGACTTCAAAGTGCTTGGGTGCCAGAGGGAGCACTTCTCCAGTTTTACCCAAACTTATCACCCAGTGCCCCATACTAAACACCTCAGATCCCTGACCACTTGCCTACTCAAGTGAAGAAGCAAGATGAGAAAGGGCTGAAAACGGGCATGATGTAAATCCATACCTACCTGACCAAGGCTTCCCCTGTCAATCAACACACTGTTGATCAAGTTATCAAGCTGTTATCAAGTTCCACTATCAGATTATTTCTCTGTGCAAGAGGAATGCTGGAATTTACATATTTTTCCACGTCATGTCTTCACTTATTCGTGGAAGAAGGGTTCAGTGAATACAAGAGCTTGGTGAGACACCCTGAATCCCCGATCGAATAGCCCCTCTACTCTGTACAATCATTGCCACAAAAGACGGAATTTAAAGCTTTAAATCAGAAAAAAAAGAGAAAAAAAGCAAGGAAGACAAAAGTATTAATAATAGTAGTAGTTTAAAAATAGACAAAATCAAGCAAACTAAAAACCAGAAAAAAAAGAGAAAAAAAAAAAAAAAAAAAAAAAAAAAAGAAAAAAATTGGGGAAGGGAGGGGAGGGCACCCAGGCTC